CCACATGCCAGTGCAGGAAATTAGTTTTTAATGAGCGCTACCTGGGTTATATGAATATTAAAATATGGGATTGCTGCTTGAGAATCTCCTTTCATTTTGATTTGATTGCTGCTCTATGTTCAATGTTATCACAAAATCCTAGGATGTGACATCTCTGACCCCACTTCCTCATTCTCCTCGCTATTTTTTGCACACTCTTGATTTGTCTTGCATGGGAACTTTTGCTTTGGCTGTTCCCCTTCCTGACCACCTTCCCACCAAACTATTTCTTTTTCCATCTCCTTGCAAACTTGTCACTGAGGACAAGCATAACGTAGGGATTTAAAATTGCAACCCATCTACCAACATTATGAATCGTAACTCCCCTTTACTTTCCCCCTATTTTTTGCAATTGTTCTTACCTCCTCCTTGGAAGAGAGACACTGTAGGCCGGGATTATTCTTTTCCATGCAGTGATAGACACCAGGTACACGGAAGGGAATTACCTATGTCATCAGGAAGGGGTTTAAACTATTTACCCAGACATCTCTCTGATTCCAGCTTCCCCATTCTCAGTGCTCCTTCAGGACTTTGTATTCATTTGTGGACATCACAGGTGGTGCTCAAAAGCTACTTCTTGCATGTTGTTTACAGAAAAGGGGGGTCACTCCTAGTGGTACTCAGGGAACAAAGTGGTGCCAATTACGAAACACAGGTATGCCACATCTAAAGAAGGTGCTCCAGCTTATCCAGCTTTCTCTCTAGACTTTAGGCCTTTATCATATTTTCATTAAATTATTTTTATAATGGGTTCTGTCTACAATTGCCATTCCCTTCCTCCACAATACTTTATTACTTCCAAATATGCCTTTTTTTTAAATAAAGGAAAACTAGATATTGTAACATTTATGTAAATTTCAGGGGTACTTCATTATAAATCAAAACCCAACATGTCACACTCGGTTCCCTCTGTGTAATTCATCTTTCATTATACATTTTACTTTTTTTTTGGTGGGGGGTGTGCATGGTACATATTGATGGTACATGACAAGGTCAGGCTTCCTTAAGCCCCTTCCCTTCTTTAAGAGGTCTGGAATAGAAACTTGAGGTCACGAGATTCTCATGTGTGTTGGATGAGTGGGAGGCCAATGGCTGAGGGCCTCTCTCTTCCTCTTAGTGCTCTCACTGGGATTGTTGTTCCTGGGGTTCTTATTCCTTGGAGGTCACGAGGAATGTGAGCAACTCTGTTGCTGTCCCCAAACTCATTGTCATACCAGGAAATGGGCCTGATGAAGGGTCCTTGAGGGCAATGCCAGCCCCAGTGTCCAAGGTGAAGGAGTGGGTGTCACTGTTAAATGGCAAGAGACAACCTGGTTCTTGGTCTTCATTTAACCCCCTCATTTAACTATATATTTAAACCTCTTTTATGCAAATTATTCACTTTCCTATCCTCTTCTTTTCTACCAACCATTAATTTGATCTCGCATGTCTAAAAGTTTATGTTTTAAAGCATTCCTTTGTCTCCTTATAAAGCATGTGTGAGTGCAGTCTTGTGCTGTTTGTGCTTTGCAGCTTAATCTAAGACAGTTCCTTAGTAATATCATGCCCTAACTTTGGCTCCTAACTGAACCCCTGAAAAACATTATACATTGGTGTGGTATGTTTGAATGAGAAATTGTGTTAATGAGCCTTTGAATAGTCCATTCTACATCCCAAGGATTGATCTCAGCAGAGAGAACATCCTGTAATATAGCAGTACTTCACCTATGCAGATTGACATCCTATTCCTTCCAGTTTTCTTCTGCTCCTCACCAACTTCCTTAAGAACACTCAAAGAAGTGCTCATTTTCACCCTTTTTCCAACTGGTTACTCCTTATCTTCAATTCTTTCCAACTACTGAAACACATGGTGATGCCTCTTAAAACTACCACTCAGACCTGCAAGCCAGCATCAGCAGCATTAACTGGGAATGTCTCAAAGGCCACTGCAGCTCCACGCGCTGACCTACTGATTTAGACTGTGCATTTAACAAGATCCTCAGGGGCTTCGTGTGTACCTTAAATTTAAGAAGCCTTTCGTGAGCATTCATCTCAAATCAGTCCTTAATCAGGGCTTTTATGATTGGCCTCATGCTTTATGTCCTGTCATACCATTGGACCTGTGTCACCCACAGCAAACACAGTGCATAATTAGTAACAACTTTTGAGACTAGTTATTGTTCTTTATTTCATGTAAGTCCTTGTGACCCAATGTAGTTAGTTGTAAGTAACTTACATGCAAGAATGCAGTATTTCTGGCCAATGTGGAAACAGGAACATAACACTACCTGAACCATTTCTTGAGAGAGAGAGAGAGAGAGAAAGAGAGAGAGAGAGAAAGAGAGAGAGAGAGATCAGAACCACTAGCACCAGTGGGAAACCAGAATTAGAAAAGGCAGGGAAGGAGGTACTCCAAGTACATCTGTCTGGCTCTGCCTCCTTCCCTCCATCCAGTCCATTATCTTCTCAGGGTCAGAGTTCCTGCTTTTTCCTATCAGCATTTGTAAGACTGCAAACAATGGACATTCCCTCCCTATCATCCTGTTCACCAGTAGCTCTTTCTGCATCCATTGACAGTCTGGAAGATTAGCCCTCCCAGGGAAAAGATGCAAAGCACAGAGAATCTTCTGGAGCCAGACCATCAAGTCATGTGTATGAGCCGCCTATGAACTGTCTGCTCTTGTGTCAGGAGCCCAGCTTCAGCCAATCAGCTGAAACCAAGGGGTTTGCAGTGCAAAACTCTTTAAGCAGGAGGAGCTGTCAACCCAGAATATTTCTTAGGACAGAAGAGTGTGGGTAGAGCAGGCAATGAGCCACATCACCAGCCCACGAATCAGTATTTAGACTGTCCTGACCACAATCCCAGTGAAATGCTACATACAAAATAAACTGAAACTAACCAATGTAGGAGGGATGGGTCATTTCACAAGTAGGCACCCCAGAGTCACTGACACCCTGCTGGACTCAAGGGCAATAAAAAGATTCCACCAGAAGCAGTCCTTGTTTCCCTAGGGCTCTGGATCCAAAAGTGTCACAGACCCAGCCACTCTGAACCTTGAGCAAATACATCAGTCACGGTTTCTCCAGTAATCATATGGGCCTTTCCCAGTCTATAGGTGTGTTCCCAGGTTCCGTGAGCAATCAGGAAGAAAATGTGTATGCACCAAGCAGAACCACCACCCAGGCTTGCGATCTAAATACAATCTACTCACATGCCACACAGGTTTTCCAGGTTTCTTTTTCTGTTGTTTGTTTTTTCCAATTTGGCAGATCAATCCCAACCAGGACTACTGTAATTTCATTACCAGTCTGACTCAGTTGGATGTTAAAGTAGAAAAATTCATTCATCCTACTAAGATGTGGGGCAGGGGAATATGGAAAACTGTTTACTATGTATAACTTAATACCATCATTTGCTCAACTGTGAATCTAAGATTGTCATATCCATGTATTTTCTCACTGAGACAAATGACATTCCGTGTGTACTAAATTCCTGTGTGAGACACGGGTTAGATTGAACTCTTGTGTAAACCCACATCAGAGCAGTTTAATTTAATAGCCCCTAAAGGTGTAATTAGACAGTCCTAGATATTGGAGCCCTAGTCTCCATTTTTAACAGACTGAAGAGAAGAACAAAATGGCCTGCATCAAACCCCTACAATCCTATTACCTACATTCTGTACTTTTTTTTTTCTTAAAACCTGTTCACACCCGCCTCACATTAAAGAATGGTGTGGAAAAACAGGTGAAAATCAGAGATGATGGAAGAGACAGATTTTCTCCAAAACAACCCATTCCTCACTTTGCAGGAGTCAAGGGTCAAGGGCTGCTTTGCTGGAGGGAAAAGGAGGGGGAAAAAAAACCATCAAGATAGATAAAATCTCGGCTTTGCAAGGATCCAAAACAAGCCATCTAAGCAAGAGGTCGGCCTCCACAGAACAGGGAAGATGCCAAAGCCATGAACTCCTCCAAAAGCTCCCTCACCTCTAGCCTGGGGCATCTGTTGCACCGAGCTGACAAGTGCAGAGGATTCAACAGCTGGCCCAGGGTGGAGCAAAATCAACAGCTTCCACCTCGCTCAGAAAGTCAACGCATGGCATCAAGGGAAAGGGTAAAATAAAAACCGAAACCCCAGACTCCCACCACAGGAGGTGGAAACACAGAGGCTGTAAAGCACGGGCCCCGCTGAGCACCCAGACCAGAGGATGGCTGGTGAGGCTCCGTTAGAGCCCACGTTGCAGATCAAAGAATCCTGCAGCCTGGGAAAGGCAAACCCTCTTCCTTCCGAGACGCGACGCTGGGACTGCAAAACACTGGGGGCGCGGGGGCGGAAGGTTGGGATTGTGTTCTGGGTGCAGAGCCCGAGGTGTGTTGTCTGCTAAGATGGGAGTGAGCTGGAAGCCAGTGACAGGCAGAGAAATAGGTCCTCGACTGAGCAGCGGCGGGAGGACACTAACTGGAAAGGGGGGCGGGGTGGGGGAGGACGGGAATCCAGAACCTGGAGAGGGTGTGCGGGTGAATCTGGGGGGTAGCGTAGGGAGCAGTCCTCCAGGGTCAGATTGTCTGGAAGAAGAGGTGGTATCAGGCGTCTTTTCCCCGACACACACGCCGTGCGCGCGCGAGCGGATACACACACACACACACACGCACGCACGCACGCACGCACAAACGACCCCAAGCTAGACCCGCGCTGCTGCAACCACACACACGCACACACACTCGAAACCCCAAGCTAGACCCGCGCTGCTGCAACCACACACACACACACACACACACACACACACAACAGCACACATACACACTCGCGACCCCAAGCTAGACCCGCGCTGCTGCAACCACACACACTCGCGCGCGCGCACACACACGCACACACAACCCCACGCTAGACCCGCGCTGCTGCAACCACACACACACACACACACACACACACACACACGCACGAGACCCCACGCTAGACCCGCGCTGCAGCTATAGTCACTCACCCTCTGCTCGGGAGCGGATCTCCGACACGGTCCTCCGCATGGTAGGCATCGCGGCGGCCGCTGCAGGACAGTCCCGGGCCGGGACTCTGCACCTGTCACGGCGCCGCGCGGTGCCCAGTAGCCGCCCGGGCTCCGCCGCCTCCCCGGGGCAGAGCTGCCACCGCCCGGAGCGGCCCCCGCACGCCGGAGGAGGAAGCGACCCCGAAAGGCGGCGGCGACCGCAGAGTCGGGCGAGCTCTCCAGCAGCTGAGGAGGGGGCGGCGCTGCGAGGGGCGGAGCTCGGGGCTCCGTGCCCGCGCCCGGATTTGGGGGGGTAGGAGATCGCCGGGGCGCGTGCACGAGCTGCGGCGGCCGCGCGGCGGGGGAGGCGGGAGAGGGGCGGGGACGAGTTGGGGGTGCGGGCCGCGCCCCACCCCGACGCGGGCCGAACCATCGCGACCACAAGGGAGGGGGGTGGCGGATCCGCTCCTGGCCTCCTTCTCCGGGCGCCTTCGCCCCCTGTTGCCTCTTTCCTTTTTTTCTGATCGTTGCTAAACTCCTTCTTCTTTGGTCTTGGTCGGAGAAGAGGGGGTGCGCTGGCTCTTGCACCCCCCTTCTAAGTTCTGTTTCTTCTTACCCCCTAGCTTTTCATAACAGTGGAGCTGCCCGTAGTCTGGAAGATGGGCTTGGATCTAAATGGGCTGACTAGGGGCTTGCAATGGGCGGGGATGCTAAGATTAAAACGCAGCCGGCTTGGGCCAAGGGTCGCGTGTCGGCCGCCTGGCTGCATTTGTAACCGGCCTGCACTGGCAGCAACCCTCGCGGCCCGGGTCGTTCTTTTTTCTTTGCTTGGCCCGCGAGCAACAGGCTCTTGAGGCCAGGGGTTTCGGGGCTCTGCAGCTCCTCAAGCCGCTAGCGTTCAGATCCTTCTAGAGGGGCCGGCCAGCGAGTGCAGCTTTTGCATCCCTCCTCCCATCCCGGGTGCGTGCTCTGCAGGCTGACAAACCTGGAAGTAACTGCGATTCTTGGGTCAGCTTTTTCAAAGAGGGAAATTTGGGGTTTTCTTTTTTTTCTTTTTTCTTTTCTTTTGATTTTGCATTTGTCACAAGGTGCAGAAAGTTGAGTGCGATAATTTTCCCCTCAAAAAAGGAAAGGTGTCTCAGTCTCTCGTATAGAATGCATAAATATTAAAATTTTGTTTGCCTCTTATCCTAGAGACCACCGTGACCTAATTGTCCTGTATTATGGATAGAAATTTGTGCTAACCATTTAGCAAACAATAGTCAAATAGCCACCTCACATTGCTGATTTCATCTTCAGGTTTGGCTCTAAGGCTTACAGTAGATTCTGGTGAGCTGCTGAAATAAGCCAGAAATGAATGAAATAAGAGCTATTTGCTTCTAGTCTCTCTTCCTTTAGGACCCAAAGGGAGAGGGCTTTCCACCGACGCCTTAAAATGGCAATTATTCACAAGAGAAATTCTGCTACTAATAGTATTTTTTCCTCTTCATTTGTGGTATTTCCTGCAGCCTCCTGAAGGTTGCATTTACTAATCAGTGCCCTGCCCCCACGTTAATAATACTTAAATGAATATTTATGAAGAGCCCACTCTATTTGGGTCTGGTTCAGAGTCTGCGGGGAACAAAGAGAATGGACTTCTAGCATTCACCAAACAGTCAGGGTAGAGCTGGTCTGAAGATCAATGTTTGTTTCCATTCAGGACTGCCTTCTTGGGACGATTTCATGCCTCTGGTCCTGCACCTCCTTGTGTAAATCAGGATTCCTCAGGCTGTAGGAAAGGGCAGAGTACAATCAAGAAACAGTAAAATATTAGCTTTAATAGCGGTGAACAGAAAGCAGAGAAAACACAAATTCTTTATAATGAACATTTTGAGAGTTTTTTAATATATGTAAGCCAGAGCCATATTTTTATTCAAAACTAGCACACCACAAATAACAGGACTGAGCTTGGTCTCTAAGCAGTCACTTTCATAATTCTGAAACAGCCCTCAAATGAAATGAACTTCTGCTTACTTACCAATAATTATTTGCTGGAAGTTCTTGAGATTACCTGTTTTCTAAAAAGCAACCCATTTTATGACTCTCTGCATACCGTCAACGCTCACCATCAAAGTTGACAATGTGTCATTTTCACACAAGAAATGACAAGAGAAATGTTTTCACATAAAGAACATTGCATAATACACAGTTGTATCTCTCATAGATTATAGTATCACTTTACCCATAATGCAAAAGTATTCAAACAGACTCATGGAAATTGAATATGTTTTCATAGATTCAGAAAGCCGATTGAGGCGAAACATTTACTGCCCTACGCTGCGTCTTCTTGATTTCAACCTCCTCTGAGATCTTCTCATCTTCCATTGTTGTGAGTGGTATAGTCTGCCAGACCCTGGCAGGAAACTCTGGGTCCAGCAACATGACCTTGTCACAGAATCTGTAGTACAATACAAATGTCAGCGGGGTCATTTAAAAGCCTTCATGTCCTATGAGTGTTCTACTGATGACCTTAGAAGGTTAGGGGCTTATTCAAGGACAGTTTCTCCAAGGACTAGGTGCTATCATCTACCATCCAAAAATATAAGGAATAAATAGTATGGCTAAGGCGCCAAGCCAGAGGGCTGGGTTACATAGACACTTAATGCACATGTGAAATTTAACCAGAAGTGTATCAGGTGGGCAACACTTAATGCCAAAGAGATAAGCAGCTACAGTCATTGAGAGGGGAAGAGTCCAAGAGTTGAGATGATGAACACCTTTAAGTTTGGTCCTGGAGTCTGTTGGTATTGATTAATTATTTTTAAAGGAATATGTAAGGTAAATGAAATGTTAGAAGAGAATATATGGTTAGGGAACAAAAGTGTGGCAGGACTAAAATAAATATCTCATTGGAAATCTATGCATTTAAATAGGTAGGTTGCAGCTATACCACTCCTGGGAATATATGCTGGAGAGGCAAAAAAAGTATAGTTGAAATGACATCTACACTTGTATGTTCATTGATGCACTGTTCACAATAGCCAGAATCTGGGGGTGGGGGTGGGGGGAAACCCTAGCGTCTGAGAACAGATGACTGGTTAAAGAAACTTTGATACATCGACACAATGGAATACTATGCAGCTGTTAGAAAAGATGAAGTCATAAAATTTGCATATAAGTGGTTCTACATGGAAAGTATCACGCTAAGTGAAATGAGTCAGAAAAAGAGGGACAGACATGGAAAGTCTGCACTGATCTGGGGAATATAAAGTAACAGAATGGGAGACGAACACCCAAGAATAGTTGAGATAAGTACCAGGAGGTCTGTTCCAGGGCTTGGAAGCCAGCAGCAAATGCAGCAGAAAAGGCAGCTCAGATAGAGAAGGGAAAATCAAGTAAAGGGTGTTTGGAGGACTCGCTCATTATGCGAGATGCATGCTGAAAGTAGACTATAGACCGAAAACAATGGCCACTCAATACCTCTACTGCAAACCACAACAGCCTAAAGGAAAGAGAGAGAAAAGAGAATGCCCTGCCAAAGAGGTGGGGTGGGGGTAGTGGGGACTGAGTTGGGAGGGATACTGGGATCATTGGTGGTGTAGAATGGGCACTGGTGGAGGGATGGGTACTCAATCATTGTATAACTAAATCCCAAGAGCGAAAGTTTGTAAGTCTACAACTGTACCTTGTGGTGTTTCACTAATTAAAAATAAAATTTTAAAAAATAAAATAAATAGGTGGGTTGTATGTGATGTAAATTGGAACTTAAGTATGTTATTTAAAAATAGCAAGATATGATTGCACTGCAGCTGGATGGGGACACTCAATCAAGAGACAAGGTAAGGGGTAGAGAATGAGCTTTATTAACAAGATTACGATTAAGGACTCATGTTCCAGAGAACTATCTTGCCTGTATGGTCACATGAAGTCACTTAGAAAAAAATGTACCTTTATTTTTCAGAAACAGCAGATTGCAGACCAGTAGAAATCATAGAGGTCGATTCATTTTGTTGTGACTGATCTTCTGGCATATGTACCCAATGTTTCTGTAACTCTGAAATGTTTCCCTTTGACTTTCATACATAATTACACAGCATTGCCTGAGTTTGTTGTTGACTGGGTCCACCAAGGATTAAGAATCAGTAATTTTTGAGAGGAGCTCATAGGCAAATAAGGGAAAGAGTCATTTACTAAATTTCTGTTATAGTCAGAAATGGATTTCAGAAGGGAGAGCGTTGGGAACAACATATCCATCCTGCGGAATTTGGTATGTGGGCAGGTGGACGTGGCTATCAAAGAGATCTGAGTAGAAGTCATGGATAATCTTCTCCATTGCCCTTCTGGAAGATGTGATAGATCCATCAGACGTCGGAGGGCAGTCATCTTGGTCTGTAGTTGGCAAAGCACAGGCGGGTGTTACGAATGCTTTTCCTGGCTTCTGCCGCATCTAACAGCACTTCTGTTCTTCTTTCTTTGAGGTCGTTCCCAACGTTCTCCCTTCGGAAATCCAAGATGCCATTTTGCTGGTAAAGAAACGAACAGCACCTGGCCCAGACAAGGTCAGAACCTGCCATCAGTACTCATCAATACACTGGCTCAGCTCTTCACACGCTACCTGTCTGAATGCAAGGTTCCGTCCCAGTGGAAAACCAGCAGGACTGTACTACTGTAAAAGAAAGGAGACATCCACGACATTGGCAACTATCACCCGATCTGCCTATTGTCTGTCATCTACAAGCTGTTCACTCGAGTCATCCTGAAAAAGATTGGCAGAACACTAGATGAAGGACAAACATGCGAGCAAGCCAGTTTCCGAAAAGGATTCAGCACGATTGACCATATCCACACGATAACCAAGCTCATTGAGGTTTCTTGGGAGTTTATGATGCCGCTCTGTCTAACATTCATTGATTTAAAGAAGGCCTTTGATTCTGTTGAGACAGGAGCGGTCATCGAAGACCTAGCCAATCAGGGCATTCAAACTCAATACATCAGGATACTTCGTGAGCTGTATTACAGATTCACTACCATGATCTCACCATTCTACAAAGAAGTGAACATCCATGTCAAGAGAGTGGTTCGGCAAAGTGATACCATTTCACCAAAACTCTTCAGTGCCACCCTCGAGAATGTCATGCGACGACTGGAATGGGAAGGAATGGGAGTGAAGATAGACGGTCAGCAACTACACCACCTCCGCTTTGCTGATGACATCATTCTAATAACACCAAACGTTAGCCAAGTGGCACAAATGCTGGCCAACTTCGACTGTGGAAAGGTCGGACTACAGCTGAATCTCACGAAGACAATGTT